CACATGCCACTGCCTCCAGATAATTAAAAAACCTTTTTTGTGGAGATGGGGTCTCACTATGTTGCCCAGGCTCATCTTGAACTCCTGGGGTCTAGAGATCCTCCTGCCTTGGCTTCCCAAAGTGCTGGGACTATAGGCATAAGCCAGTGTGCCTGGCCCTGTCTTGACACTAATAACAAACAAAATACAAAGATCTTCACAGTAAGAAACATCTCTCTAAAGATCTCACAGCATCTTTAAAAACAACATAAATATTATTTCATTAAAAAAAGACATGGTTTAAACTAACAAGCTTTTTCAAAGATGAATTCCAACTGATTGGATTGCCTATATTATCTTGTGATTTAAAAAAAAGAAATCCAAATAAGTTATTTAACCCCAATTAACTAAAATAGACTTCTGTAACATTCAAGGAAGCATACGTCTTCCTGTTACCATAGCAATGGCTGAGCTAGGCACTACTTTCTAGTGATGGAACTGCCAAAACAATCCACCTGGGTGAATGTGTGTGTTTTATACATGTAGGGAGCTAAGAAGGAGAGAAGATGACCAGAAGATGACAGCAAGGTACCCTGACGAGCAACACCTTGGTCCAGGGGCAGGGAGAGGAAAGCTTTCCTGCATACGCTGGCACTAAAGTGTTCCCACACAGCTCGCACATCTTGTCCCTTCCTCTCTCCCTATCTCACTATGTTCCGTGTTTGCGAACATGAAACCCAGTAACTGAAGCAATGGGAAAGTGAAAGAGTTAAATGAACTGAATTATGAACTACTGAATAAACAGAGAGAATGACTTTTTCTCAGGCTATCTCATGACATCACTTTCTTCCCTTTAAATGACAATTTGGAATGGGAATACAGAATCTGTGTGGAAAGCAGTAGAGACCTTGCTAGGGATTTAGCATTGTGTGGCAGGTATAAAAGCAGAGCACAACATGAGAAATGGGAGCAGCAGCAATTTCACTGAAACAGGTCACTTAGTTCCCTCCACCTTTTTCTGATCTGAATTCCTGTTTCACTGAACATTTGCTGCGTAAAGTTATAAAGTATATTTGTGGCATTACTGATTGAGATCTTTAAAAGTAGTGCCTGTATTAGAATTTAAACAAGCTTCTAGACCCAGCTACCAGCAGATGAGAAAGACAAGAACACCATCATCACCACCTTGGGGATGAACACAGCAAAATTCCAGAAGGTGGGAAATTCTACAGCCTCCCTACTCAAAGTGTAGTTCACAGACCAGCCACATTGTTATCACCTGGGCACTGGTTAAACTTGTGGACTCCCAGACCCCACCCAAGGTCTGCTACATCAGGATCCCATCCCCATTTAAGAATCTGTTGTTCTACAGGACAAACCAATAAACCAAAACAAAAACATATACAGAAACACACACAGAGAGACAGAGAGAGATGGAAAGGGAGCCCAGAGTTATATCTGCTGAATGCAATGGTACATGCTGTTCAGATTGTGATTCGAAAAATAATTATGATAAATATTCACATGCATGTTAATGTTTAAATAGGTATTTGGGGAAATGAAGAGATGTAATAACATAAAAAGGTTTGAGAAAATATATAAGGTATATGTAATTTTTAATGGAGTGACAGTTTGTAATTCTGTAAGTATGCTAACCAAAGGCTAAATGACACTGGAGATTATCACTGGATAATTTTACATGTTCCTAAGTAGAACCCTAGTACTCCAGTGCTAAGAAAAAGGCAAACATTTTTGTTGAAATGGATTACATTAACCAACCTATGAAAACCTATCTGCAGTACTACTTGATCACTGAAGAAACCTATCTGCAACACTACTTGATCAAGGAAGAAATCAGGAGATGACAGATATCCCCAGAAAAGTAGGTGAGAGTTGAAAAAAAGTGGCTTGGGGCAAGTCACCAATTCTAGGTAGACTCATCTGCAAAGAGACAAATAACAGCTCCTGTGCCTAGAGCAAGAACAGATGTGAAGGTGACCTGTATATTGAAAAACACTAGTCAACTGTTACTTGCGTTTTTAAAAAAACACAGAGGTAATCTGGTCTACAAGTATGAGCTTTTGTTTTTCTTTCTTTCTTTCTTTCTTTTTTTGATTCAGTTCTCACTCTGTCACCCAGGCTTTGGTGCAGTGGCTCAATCATGGCTCACTGAAACCTTGACTTCCTCAGCTCAAGCAATACTCTCACCAGCCTCCCAAACAGATGGGACCACAATCATGTATCACCATGCCTGGATACGTTTTTAATTTTTTGTAGAGATGGGGTCTTATTATGTTGCCCAGGCTGGTCTTGAACTCCTAGGCTCAAGTGATCCTCCAGGCTCAACCTCTCAAAGTGCTGAGATTACAGGTGTGAGGCACTGTGCCTGGCCAAGCATGAGCTCTGGAATCAGACAGGATCCTTGTATCACAGAACCAGCCCATATTGAAAAGGAGCAAGTGAATAAGCATCTCATAGTCCCAATTTCTCATCTGTAAAATGACATAACACCCGCTGTAGTAGACTGTGTTATAGTCCAGCTTTCCACCTGCTTTGTTTCTCACTAGCCCCTTCCTGCGCAGCCCCTGCAGGAGGGTTAAATGATCTATCCATTGATGCTAGTTCTGGCAAGTGACTTCTGTGGCACAGGGAACATGCATGGAAGTGGTACTTGTTCCTCTGGAGCAGGAGCCTTAACAGTCATCTTGTGAATCTGCCACCACTGCCTTCCCTCTGCAGTGACAATGCGAATGACCCAGATGGCAGCTGTTCCTTTGGCTGAGCCCCAAGAGTCGGGAAGTACAGTATCTACCTTCATGTGAGCTTCAGTTAATACCTTCAAAAAGGTACTATGCAGGCCAGGTGCAGTGGCTCATGCCTGAAATCTCAGCACTTTGGGAGGCTGAGGTGGGTGGATCACTTGAGTCCATGAGTTCGGAAAAAAAAAACAAACAAAAAAAAAACCAGCCAGGTGTGTGGTGTGTGCCTCTAGTACCAGCTACTTGGGAGTCTGAGGTGGGAGGATCACCTGAGCCTGGGAGGTGGAGGCTGCAGTGAGCTGAGATCTGCACTCCAGCCTGGGTAACACAGTAAGACCCTGTCTCAAAAAAAAAAAGTGACTATGTAATAAAATATGACCATCTCCAGTTTCTCATCTGCGTTGCCCTTAAAATCCCCTATACGTCCATAACGCATTTCTGTGCCCAAACGTTGCTTTGGAAGCCTATACCTTAAAGAATTAAAAATAGGTCATTCTGGCATGTTGTCTATTTTGAATCAAACACAATGAAAAAACCAGCAAGTGTAACAACTCTGACCTTCATTTGATTTCTTAAAAACAAGTGATGAGGCCAGGAGCAGTGGCTTCTGCCTGTAATCCCAGCACTTCGGGAGGCCAAGGCAGGATGATCACTTGAGGGCAATAGTTTGACACCAACTTGGGCAATATAGGGAGAACCTGGTCTCTATAAAAATAAAAAAATTGCCGAGCATTATGGTACAGGCCTGTAGTCCCAGCTAATCAATAGGCTGAGGCAGTAGGATCACTTGAGCCCAGGTGTTCAAGGCTACAGTGATCTATAATTAGGCCAATGCACTTCAGCCTGGGTGACAAAGTGAGATGCTGTCTCAAACAACAACAACAACAACAAAAACAAAACCAACCCCCACCCCTGCTGGCAAATTTAAAAACAAACAAACGAACAAAAACCAGGAGATAAAATTCTTGTATGAAAGGTGCCTGCCCAAATGTTAGAAGAAAAACAATGTTCTTATCATCAAGGGCAAGACGTTGAGACAGACAGAATTCTATAAAAGCCTTATTAAAATAACTCTTGTCTTTAAGTCTTCCAACATGATTTAGTTGCTTTTTCACAACTTACTATTCTTTGTCCAATTCGCTATAAACTGCTTAATTGCTTCTCGGAATCTCATTTCCTTATGAAGGCTTCTGTGCCATGTAAAACCTGAATGAGCTTTTAACACAAACTCACACAACTTGTATTAAATTTGCATGCTTTTTTCTTATTAATCTGTCTTCTGTCAATCTAGTTCTCAGGTCCAGCCAGAAAGAAATCCTAAATGGGAAGAGATAAAGTTTTTTCTTTCCTACACCCCAATTAAATGGCCTTGTAAATTCTAGCCTCTCCTGACTATGCAAAACTTAAAATCCCTAATCTAACTTACCCAAGGCGTACAAAGTTACAAGATCATTTACACAAACATAAAGGATAAAAAAATGCTGAATGAGTCTGCATTTTTTAAAAAATTAATTTGGCTTAAAATACAATTGGAAATACGAATAGTTTTTAGTTCCTGCAATGGAAGAATGTCTGCCTTTTTGCTATTTCATATGAATTTCTTCAGTTTTATATCATCATTCTTAGAATAATTCTTAAGTATTTAATTCTTAATTTAGTTTTTCTCATTTCACTTACTAATTTTCAACATCTGTGTTATTTGTATTACTTAAAATATTTTGAAACAATCTAAACTATGGAAGAATCCCAGAAAATGTGCCTCTTGGCAGGTGTGTGAATAGGGTAACTCACAGGGGTGTTGAGTGATCTACTTCAACTTTGGGAATATTCCATTTCCCAATCACTTTTTAACTCATGGCACTCATACTGAGATAAGCAGCCAGCAGCAGAACATCCCGCATTTATTTGTCAACCATTTTAAAACACATTTCTGGGTCTAGGCTTTCACTCCAATGAAGTCGTGAAAGCAACAAAGCATATATCCACCAAACCATGTCGACTCTTTTAGACACGGTGAGCCGCTATTTAAATACATGGCAAAACCAGTGAACAATTTCTGAAACAGAAATAAGAGTTCTAAAGTTGGCTTTTAGCTCATATGCAATATGGGAGAAATGCTAAACAAAATTTGTTTTTATTGTTACTTTTTGGGTTGCCAAATAGTTACCTGCAAAGTTATTTTTCTAATCAAAGTTGTCATTTGTCTATGTCCAAACACATCCATCAGAAGCCTGGAGTAGTATCAGTTTTGGGATAACTTACGAAGAGAGGACATGCTGGAGGTGCCCCGAAGAAACTGGTGCAAGCCATCGTCACTGTCACTGGAGCTGGCTATACTGTTCCTCATTTCCAGCATGGAGATCTGTGTGCAGAGGCTGAGCTGATGTTCCAGCTTTTTGGCTTTCTATAAAGCAAAGTTTTAAGCTTTCTGAGATTCATGGGAGGTGAATCATATATTCCATTTAAGCAACATGTGGTTTTCCTAGAAATACGTTAGTGCATAAAAAAAAAAAGTACCTGATACATATTAGGTGGCCAATACACATAAGCTATGATTTTTATATTACCTGTTACTATAAATGTATTATAAAAAATCAAATATACCCAAGTCTATTTATAATAAGCTAAATAATTAACTGAAATAATAAGCACCAGCTTAATTTGGCAAACAGCCCAGACAAAATGATTTTGAAAGGACACATACACGCATTGTCACTGGGTAACAGCACTTATCACAGAAACGATGTTTTTAAAAATTCTCTCTTGAAATCATTTTAATTTCTTTCTAAAAAGATACGGGGAAATTAAGATCAAATTGAAAATTGTTGAAGATCTATGCAGCTCTGAAATTCTACATCTCTCCTTTCACCTTCTGGAATGACCAGGAAGATAAGCAAGACTGGAAGACACCAGGGTTTGAAGGCCAGCTTCCTGATCAGTGGGAGCTGTCAGCCTTTCTCTGTCTGCAAACCTTCAGCTGCCCTGTCCTCCCTAACCTACTCCATCCCTCACTCCCTCTCACTCCTTTACCATCTTCCTTAAAAGGCTCTTGAGGAAGAGGGTGCCTTATCACCACAAACACTAGTCTCTCAGAGTTATAGACTCCTTCCTAAGTAACAGCAAACTTTACCATTACAAAATACTTTCTCCTTTCAAGATTACAAGTGTCCTCAGTGCATTTAACATATGGCTAGTTACTAAAAACTCAGGAAAACATATTTCATAAAGTGAAATATACCTCATATACATATTTATTTAACAAAACAAACTCAGAAAACACTCACTTTATCATTTAAGGTGGGATCATTCAATGAGTAGAGCTTATTTGTAATGTCTTTTCCAATAAGATACCTAAAGATTTCATATAAGAAAGGTTCTGATTCCAGAAAGTATGTTAATCTTTCTCTTGACCAGCATAAAAATCTGCAGTTATCATCTGCAATAATGGTGACCTGCCAAAGAAACAAGCATGCAAAGAATAAAGTACATCTATGTATATGAATTATGACTATAATGATTTATCAGACAAAAGTAGGAATGATTTACTGGACATTATCATACCAATGATTTATCAAATTAAAATAAGACACAATGCACATAAGCTTCTATATCTACAAAATTATGTTTTTTTAAGCCCCAAAATTATGTTTTTAAAAAAGCTCCAGACTAAATAAAAGCAAATTCTCTAGGTTTCACTGTTGTTTTGTTTTGTGAGATCTGGTGACAGAAGAATGGCCACTGTATTGATACCACTGCTGAAACATGTATTTAACTGTGAATGCCACTGGACATATCACTTACATGAACTACTTCTTTGTACCCTGTACATTACAATGTGGTTCAAAAATACAGCTTCAAGCAGATGAACTGAGGTTAAGATTCATGAAGCAAGCTGTAGAATAAAGACCTTCTGCCCATCCAAATCTGAAATCATACACTGAAGATTGAGAATGCTTCAAGGACCCCGGCTGTTGCTGATGAATATGGCTGTTGCTGATGAATATGGTCCTTCTGTCATAGGTGTTTTGCAAGTGTCACATTTCAAGGTTAGATCTAGGGTAGCCCATTAGAAATATTCACAGATACCCCTAAATTAGCTCAAAACTAAAAATCATGTCCCCTTTCCTTCAGTATTGTACATATGAAAGCAGAAAGGTAGTATAACTATATGACACAGAGCTCAAGTATCCTTCAAATAAATCCCTTCACCAGAGTGAGGTGCTATGACCTCACAGCTCAATGCCAGGAAGCCATCCCTCCCCTGTAGTCCTCTCCCATCAGTTAACACTCCTGCAAGCTTCATTATGGCTTAAATCCTATCATTAAATCCAAGCTCAACAAGCTGAAATCTGATCATTAGCAAATTAAGAATGTCTGGGTCAACGTCTCTAGGAAAAAAAGCTTCTGTTTATTACATCAAAAGTAGGAATCCCCCAAACCAAACATATTTGTTTTTAAGAAATGCATCAGCATCTAAGACTTGATAAAACACTAAATCTCATTCATTCTTTCGATACACATAGCTAGAAACTCTTCAAGGTATGAGGTTACAATGGTGAACAAGAAGGACAAGATGTTTGTCCCTTGAAGCTTACATTCTAGTGGAGAAGGCTGATAATTAATAAAGAAATATGACAATTTTAGGTGGCAGTAAGTGTTTTGACATCTATAGAGCAGGGGGAAGTGGCCGAGAATGACTAGTGGGTGACAGTTGCACATAATGCCACTCACTTTGTATACGTACTTTTAAACTTTAAGGTGCTTCCATATCTATCACGTAAGTGGATCCTCGAAAGTCCCTTCAAAATAAGACAAGTAATATTCTTCCCCATTTTTCAGATGCCAGATGAGAACAACCAAAAAACTTACTCCCAAACACACATTAATTAGTAGTAGAGTGGCTTTACAAAACATACGAAAATCAGCCAGGCATGGTGGCACATGCCTATAGTCCCAGCTACTTGGGAGGCTGGGGTGGGTAGATCACTTGACCCTAGGAGCTCAAGAGCAGCCTGGGCCAACATGGTTAAAACCCCATCTCTACTAAAAATACAAAAAATTAGACGGGTGTAGTGGTGGGCACCTGTAATCCCAGCTATTGAGGAGGCTGAGGCAGGACAATTGCTAGAACCTGGGAGGTTAGGGGCTGCAGTGAGCCAAGACTGCGCCACTGCACTCCAGCCTGGGTGACAGAGTGAGACTTCATCTCAAAAAAAAAAAAAAAAAAAAAAAAAAATTAGTGATAGAGTGGTAGAGTGAGCACTTTTAACTTTCAGCCCAAATGTATTTTTCCACCAGGTCAAAATCTACCCAATACGTCCAACACGCATCAAGACTATTACATAGAAAGTATTTCTGCCTAGTGACCACAAGGCTGGCTGTGCAGTCCATCAAGAGCACCTCATACGGAGAACGGCTGAATACATGTCATGAGGCCTGCACTCTAGTGGAGGAGGCTGCTAATAAAGAAACAGGATGCCAAAAAAAAAGGGCAGGGGGGAGATTTACAAAAAGAGGAGTATAAGCAAACCGCCCCTGGGGAATTCCCACAAACAGTAGGAGGCAGGTGTGTAAATAGTCCACAGCAGTAGTAACAGAACAGTGAGCATGGGGTACTCATGAGGATGACCGCCCAGCCACAGACCCAAGTGCAAGAGAGTACTGATGCCCCTTCGTTGTGCAAAGATGTCACTCGGGACTATGGAAAATAGTGGGAGAAGGAATTAAAAGAGGAGATGGAAATCATCTAGGAGATGAAGAAATTATATTTAGGTGACACATAAGGCCGTTGACTTTTCTTCAACCATCTGAATTACCTCAAGTTTCCACTGAGGCAATGAAACTTTTATGATGGCACTGTAATTTCCTTAGCAAATTCACTTTTTATTGATGGTTAAAAAATTACTTTGGCTAACGCCCTTTTCAGCCTTAGCCCACCTGCACCCAGGTGAATAAAAAGAAAAAGGAGAAAAAGAAAAAAATTACTTTCAACCTGATTATTATTGAATATAAATTTAGTAACAGTATTCAAATAATAAGCTGTACTTACTACATATGAGTAATTTACGGGCCCATAAAAACACAGATTCAGTCAGAAGCCACCAGTTAGAGTGCTGACTGAGGTCATTTTACTTGATACCTAATGCCTCATTTCTACCAAACAGTTTTATTTAACGATTTCCTGTCACAACAGTGAAGCAAAGTGTATTTTTTATGAGATAAAGCAATATAAGAATTTTGGAAGTTTCCATAAAATAAATTTACTTCTTATTAGGTACTTCAGTGGTGCTATGCGAGTCCTTGTCAAGAATTTTACTGAAGAAATAAAAGTAAATATGGCAACAGAAGACATAAAAGGACATCTTTCGGGTTGAGAATTAGACTAAGCATTTGCAAACAGGTTTGCCATGATGGCCACAAGGCACTGGATCAGTTCCTCCCTTTAGATTCCAAACCAATTCTACAGCCTGTCACCAAGAGAAGACATTGGCTCCACTGCTGGAAACAAAGGTGTCTGAGGGATCTGCCTCGTGTGCTAGAATCAGAAACCACAGTCTGGCAAGAGGGCTGGCTGACTGTCATGAGGAAATAATTTAATACTTTTTACAAGCATCATATTGCATTTCATACACAAGAACACTAAAATGTCCGTGAAGTGGTCATTCAACTGATGCTAGAGTTCTCCTAAGCACTAAAACAACATAGAATCAAAAGTGGCAGAGGCAAGTGCTTCACAGCTCCACCAAAATATTTACTTAATATTGAGATGACGTTTTCTTTAAATACCATTAAAACTCAGTGCTCATTTCTTTTACAACAGCATGAATATATGCCAGCAAGACATCCCTCTCCCCTTAAAGTCAATACAGCTTTGATTTTTGGGCTCTGCAACACCAGGACATGCTATTGGCTATGGGAAGGCAACAGCATGAGATAGAATACAAAAGCAAAGCTTGTAAATAGTAAAGTTTACTTAACATAAAACATCTGCATAAAGAAGAAGAAACCAAACAAAACACCACTTTTATTTATTTATTTTTTCTGAGAGAGAGTCTCACTCTGTCACTCAGGCTAGAGTACAGTGGTGTGATCTCAGCTCACCGCAACCTCCGCCTCATGGGTTCAAACGTTTCTCCTGCCCCAGCCTCCTGAGTAGCTGGGATTACAGATACCTGCCACCACACCCAGCTAATTTTTGTATTTTTAGTAGAGACTAAGTTTCATCATGTTGACCAGGCTGATCTCACCTGCGTGACCTCAGGTTATCCACCTGCCTCAGCCTTCCAAACTGCTGCGATTACGGGCATAAGCTACCATGCCCAGCCTACTTTTATCTTTTGTAATAGTAATACTCAAGATTCTATCAATACTTATAAATAGGAACTCTGGCCTGTAAGCACCAGAATGACTATAAGTACCTAGGGATAACAAACTGTAAGTTTAGGGTCTGTTTTCTCAGCTCTATCACTATATGAATTACTACATATTTACCTGAGCAACACCTGCTGTGCAATCTCAAGGGACAGTCATTGACTCCACTTGCCTTCTCTTTCCTCCTTTTCATCCTATTGTACAATTCATGAGCAACCTGACCACAGAACGAATTTAAAGAAAGAAAAAATCAAGGGAAGTAGCTCCTCATCAAACACTTCTGGCCAGAGTTAGGAAAAGACAAGCTTAATAGGTAAAAAGTGTGAGGGTGGAGAAGCCTGACAGCTGATTTCAAGCATCCTCTGCCATTGGCACAAGTAGCGAGAAGTTGGCTCTGGGAGCATGTGACATTTTTCATTTGGGAACTTGCATAGGTAAGTAGCAATATACATACTCCTACACAGATGTGTAACAGCTATTTATTACTCCCGAGGATCTGCCAACAGGAACATTTTGTAAACAATCAAAGTACAATCTCTCCCAAGGGCTTACTTTGATGGCTCCAGTTGTATAGGACACAGGCTTGATGATGCTAGTTTTAATCTACTGACCAATCAGGAAATCCCACATAAGACTCTATGCAGAAAAAAGCTGATTGGTATTAAGAAAAGCTGAATACATTTTCTTCATCCAGCTACAGTACTAAAAATTTTGGATCACGATTTTGGAATCTTTACAGTAATTATTGGGAATAATTCTCAACTACCAAAATCCAATCCCTAGACCCCAAGAAGAAAGAGAACTGTAGCTAGTGAGAGGAATTCCTTTTTTTTTTTTTTAACTTAATTATAAATATAATCAGTGGAAAAGATAGTATGTTACTATTTCTGGCCTCTTGGCAACCACTTGATTCTGGAAACAGAGGTTCAATTCCCACCCCATCCTCAAATCTCAGTCTCTTCAGGATTATATAAGATAGTTATCACACAAAACCACCTGCTACCATACACAGAGAAATACAGGCAAAAGATAAACGTCGGGCTTTGGAACAAGAAACTGTAAAAAGATCACAGGAAAGAAGGAGAGAAAAAAGATATGGCCCTGCACCAGTTTGTAGATGGTGGTGATTAAAGATAAAATAAGAACATAAATCTCACAGCAAAGCTAACCCTCGCAACAACAAAGTAAGAGTGTAAACAGAGGAGCCAGGACACAGCATTTGCTGTCTCCTTCTGTATCGTAAACCCAGCCAGCTTGGGAAGAATGTCGCAAAAGAGTGAATCTATATGCAATCTTTTAGTAAATGCACGTAACTAACAAGGTGCATTTACTCAGGCCAGTCATTCAGGAAGGGTGGGAGCAGGGCAGGGCTGAAACCATAGTAAATGATATAAACTAAACTGTATGTCTGTAAATGTTCTTTTATCTCCACTTTTGTGGCATCCCAAATGGTATAGCATCTCAAAATGAGACTCTAAGATTCTGTCATCAAGAAACACTAACATTTTTTTCTCCATCAGGTAGTAACAGCCTCTTCATTTCAATTTCGTCCCTAAATAGATTTACCTTCTTGCCCACAAGCAATCCTGTGCTCAGGATATTTCCTTACTGCTGTTAATCCAGAGGCTATGACTTAAAAAACCTCTCATCTATTTATTTTCTTGGTTAATTTCCTTTCAATAACAAGGTGAATGAATAAAATAGGAGGGCTGGACACTTACAGAAAGAATCAGAACAAAGTGCCATGTAATGGAGTAATCTGTTTTAACACAAAAGGAATCACACTAAGTAGTCCACGTTCAAATTACTGCCATTACGAAGAATTTCCTTCTTTGTCCTTAAACATATTCATTAAGTCTCAAAGAGTTTAGTGATTCGATTTTTTTTCGTAAGAATTAACTAAATTCCTTAAGGTAAAGCCAGTTTTCTGTTTTTCCCCAATAAATATCAATTACATGACTTAGGAACACTAATTATCTACAACTCACATTTTCCTTTTTGCTAACAAAAATATTAGATATTTTGTATGAAAAAAAATATAAAAATTCAAATTAGCAAAAAAAAGGTTAAAAAAGCAATCAAATACAGTCTAGAGGCCGGGCGCGGTGGCTCAAGCCTGTAATCCCAGCACTTTGGGAGGCCGAGGCGGGTGGATCACAAGGTCAAGAGATCAAGACCATCCTGGTCAACATGGTGAAACCCCGTGTCTCTACTAAAAATACAAAAAATTAGCTGGGCATGGTGGCGCGTGCCTGTAATCCCAGCTACTCAGGAGGCTGAGGCAGGAGAATTGTCTGAACCCAGGAGGCAGAGGTTGTAGTGAGCCAAGATCGCGCCATTGCACTCCAGCCTGGGTAACAAGAGCGAAACTCTGTCTCAAAAAAAAAATACAGTCTAGAAATAACATTATAACAAAATTCGAATATATCTTTCTTGAACATTTTCTGTACATATACACAATATTTTTTTAAGTTTTTTTATGCCCTATGGCAACTTGTTTTTTTCCCCAGTGACTCATAGATGGTGTTTCTATTAATATCCTTTGGACTTTGAGTGAGATACAAACTAGTTTCAATCTCCTAAAAAATCATGTGAAAACATACCTGGAATTTTTCACCTTTGTGCATCTGAGTTGATCTAAATTCAGGAGAATCTATAAAGGCACAGGGGTAAATGTTATGCAGAAAATGTCCTCGATAGGAGACCTTCATTCTGATAACAGAAATTAGTGTTAATAAAGGCACTATTTCACAAATAACATGATAATCCTTAAAACTGCTATCATCTTATGCGATTTTGTTTTGTAGTAAAGTTTTTAAAATTCCACAGATGATTGACATACCTAAAAGCACTTCTTTAAGCACAAGTATTTCAAAAACTAACATTAGAAAAAAGCAGTGTCCATTACTGAGCCAGATATATGTCGTCTAGTGGTTATTATTGCTCTTATAAAGGAATTGACTATATAATTTGTTACTCAAGCTGGGATACTTCTGAGAGGGAAAGAAGTGTCATTAATAACAATGCCAGCACAACAGAAACTGGCTCTCTCCCCAGAAGGCTGATATTCCTAGAAGTTGTATTTCTGTGATATTCAAGACAAATGAACTCTGATACATGCATAAGCTTTTTGAATTTCAGTGTCTAATTTAAATCCACTTTGATTTTGACTCATTAATTTTTAATAAAAGGTCAAAAACGGTTAAAATCTTGCAACTGAAAATCCTGACATCAAGATTCAGAGCAGTACATTCAACCTGGCTTTAATATGTTGCTCTACAGCATTGGAAAGCGTAGTTGTAGCATAAATTTCACCAACAACAAACTCTGTGACTGCTTCCTCAATTCACAAGCAACATTTCCTTCCATTCATTTCCTTCCCAGAGGTCATGAAAAGATGAAAGGTAAACTAGGAATTTTGATTTCCATATAACACTTACTTCCCCTTCAAGAGAATACTCAGACGGTCATCAACTGAGGTTTTATCTTCAGCAGCATAAGTCTGGCCCTTTTTCAAGGTTTGGATCATGCAAAACTGTCCAGTTAATCTTCTGAACAAATCTGGAGGCACACGGAGTGGTTCAAACAATCGCCGGTAGATGCCACTGAGTTCCTTTTCAATCTTTACCTGAAATGCACCAAGGACTAGATGCTGTACCAATGCAGCAGCAACCCCAACATACTGACTTCTGTGGTCTAAATATGGTTTTGAGAATAAACAAATCTTTGATATATACCATCAACCTTCTGTATTTAGGCCAATAGAACCTTACACAGCAAGTAAATGGTGATAAAAGTTTTTACTTTAGATGCTAAAAGTGTACATTTAGGTTGTGCGAGGTGGTTCATGCCTGTAATTTCGGCACTTTGGGAGGCTGAGGTGGTAGGATCAAGAGTTTGGGACCAGCCTGGCACATAGTGAGGCTCTATCTCTACTTAAAAAGAAAAAAAAACCAGGTGTGGTGGTCATGCCTGTAATTCCCGCACTTTCAGTGGTCATATCTGTTATCCCACCACTTCGGGAGGTCGAGGCAGGTGGATCTTTTGAGGTAAGAGGTTTGAGACCAGCCTGACCAACATGGTGAAACTCCGCCTCTACTAAAAATACAAAAAATTAGCCACATGTAGTGGCATGCATCTGTAATCCCAGCTACTTGGGAGGCTGAGGCAGGAGAACTGCTTGAACCTGAGAGGCACAGGTTACAGTGAGCTGAGATCACACCATTGCATTCCAGCCTGGGCAACAAGAGTGAACTCTGTCTCAAAAAAAGAAAAAAAGAAAATAGAAAGAAAGAAAGAAAGAAAGAAATTAGCCAGCCATGGTGCAGTGTACCTATAGTCCTGACTACTCAAGATGCTGAGGTGGGAGGATTACTTGAGCCCAGGAGTTTGAGACTGCAATCAACTAGGATTGCACCATTGCACTCCAGCCTGGGCAATAGAATAAGACTCTGTCTCAAAAAGTAAAAAAATAAAATAAAATAAACTTTTGCAGTTAAACTGAACTCACTGTGTAAGGGAAAGATCTGCACTATGGATCATAACCTCTTCCTATGAGCTATAATGCAACTGTTTAGCTTTTGAATGTTGTCACCACATTCACTTTCCAAATCTTAGTTTCTTCTATAAATACAGAAAACCTTTTCTGTGAAACCTACTTCACACAGAAAAAAATTAGACTAACTTTTAAATATGGCAGCAAGAAAATAAACACACAAAATAGGAAGTAATGAGGAAATAAATTTATAAAAGTGACATATACTTTAAGCATTTTATCTCCATGTAATTACTTAATGCACCAATACAGAAAAACACGCATGCACAGCTACAATCACTGCTTTATATTTACATACTCTCAAGCAAAGTGAAGGAAAATAAAAGGGTATAAAAGAGTTTTAGTGTAGAAGTTTCATCCTAAGCTAAAATGAACTCTGTAAAATGGAGAATCCACTGGCAAATAAGGCTGGCTACTGGAGGAATAGAAAAGCGAAATGGCTTAATCATTTTTGTTGTCAGATTCTCCAAAGCACAGGTCATGCCCCATCTTTGGGCCCAGTATTAGTCTCTGGAAGTCACACTAATTGGGTAGATGGAAAACCATACTGCACTGTATCTCTGGCAGGCATGACATGAAGCCTATAGGCCCAGATCATGAGAGCTGCTCCAACCTGATGTCACTCCAGCATCTGCAATACTCTAGCTTGTCCTGCTGTTTCACTTTGAGGAAAATACAGCATTTATATTTTTCAGAAAAGTAAATTTATAGTATGGGAAGAAACAAAAGCACAGATACTAAGTGATTTACCTATTTGGTGCTATGATCACATCAGCAACTTCTGAACCTTTTATTTTGGGGTTCCAGCAAGTTCTGACATTCAAAAAATGTAATCATTATTATCATCTACCTCTTCCACTCCAAAGCTCTAGTAATGACCATTTAGTATGACTTATTCATAATCTGTTCATCCTATAACTCTCAGATCAAGCCCTCTTTACGTATTCATTTTTTTTGGAGACAGAGTCTCATCTGTTGCCTGTGCTGGAGCAAAGTGGTGTGAGCATAGCTCACTGCAGTCTCAAACTCCTGGGTTCCAGTGATCCTCCCAAGAAGCTTGGACTACAGGTGTGTGCTACAGTACCCAGCTGATTTTTTTTTTTTTTTTTTGGAGATGGAGTTTCGCTCTTGTTACCCAGGTTGGAGTGCAATGGCGTGATCTCGGCTCACCGCAACCTCCGCCTCCTGGGTTCAGGCAATTCTCCTGCCTCAGCCTCCTGAGTAGCTGGGATTACAGGCACGCACCACTATGCCCAGCTAATTTTTTGTATTTTTAGTAGAGACGGGGTTTCACCATGTTGACCAGGATGGTCTCGATCTCTTGACCTCGTGATCCACCCGCCTCGGCCTCCCAAAGTGCTGGGATTACAGGCTTGAGCCACCGCGCCCGGCCTGATTTTTAAATTTTTTGTAGAGATGGAGTCTTGTTATGTTGCATAGGCTGGTCTTGGAACTCCTAATCTCAAGTGATCTTCCAGCCTAGGCCTCCCAAAGTGCTGGGATTACAGGCATGAGCCACAGCGTCTAGCCTCATGAAGCCCTCTTAATTCTTTCTCTCTCTTTTTTTTTTTTTTTTTTTTTTTGAGGCAAGAGTGTCACTCTGTTACCCAGGCTGGAGTGCAGTGGCATGATCTCAGCTCACCACAACCTCTGCCTCCTGGGTTCAAGCGATTCTTGTGCCTCAGCCTCCTGTGTAGCTGGGTCTACAGCTGTGCACCACCATGCCAGCTTATTTTTGTATTTTTTAGTAGACACGGGATTTCACCATGTGGTCAGGCTGGTGTCAAACTCTTGACCTCAGGTGAGCCATCCACCTTGGCTTCCCAAAGTTTTGGGGTTACAGGCATGAGCCACCACACCTGGCCTAATTCTTATCCTCTTTGAAAGCATCTACTCATCAAAGGTTTTTTTGAGCACCTACTGTGTGCCAATCATGGTTGATAGGAAAAGAAGATACAGCAGTAACTGTGTTAGATTATTGTTCCAAATTATTCGCTGTTCCCAACTTCTGTAAGAGGACTGCACATCCCCTTATTCCAGCCCATGCCCTACAGTATCAAACTTGGCCATGTCATTTGTTTTAGCCAATGAAATGTAAGCAGAAACAATGTGTCCCTTTTGAGCAAAAGTTTTAAGAGACATTGGGTGTTTCTCTTTTTCTCTCTAGTACTTTTCCCTCTGCTATGAGAATGCATAGTCCAAACAGAAACTGCTGCTTCAGCATAAACCCTGAAATGAATGAGATGCATAGAACAGAATCACAGCTGACACACAGCTGCCAGAGTCAAGATACAAGGTGAGTGAGAAAAAAAGCCCATTTGCTGTTACGCATCACTGAGATTTATTATATAGCATAACCTAGAGAAAACTGACTAATACAGTAAAACAACACAGACTGAGTCACTATGTTTGACAAGGTTACGGTATAGTTGAATGCCTATTATATATCATCTATTTTTCAGATTATAATTTTCTATGAATTGTTTTCCAATAGTTTTGTTTTCTAATAGTTTTCTATGTGCAAATCTGACCCCAAACATAAGATTAAGGCAAGCATTAGATCTTCTACTTTACTGAATGCTTACTTGTGCTTAGGAAAGTCAGTAAATATATACAGAGTGATTTCTAGGAGCCCTGTTGTTTTCCTACTCTATTTTTGTTCTTGATATGATCAAGGAATACAACAAAATAAATCAGAGTTGAAAAGAAAAAGTTAAAGACAGGTGTTTTGGTAGCACCTACCAAACACGGTGACTTCCTTAAATGAATATTTTTGGGTCTTAGAAAAAATAATAGTTATTACATTAAAAAACAACATGAACTATTTGTAAATCATCAGAATGTTTACACAAGTTGCCTGCTAGTAATTTTATAAATGGGAAACGATATTTCCAAGTGACATCTGAATATCAATATTTTAAAAATCAAGTAATATGACTTAAAAAGGAGAACAATATTCACATTCTCTCATATGCTAATAATTTAGAAAGTTTTAAAAACTCATTTGTAGAACAAATTCCATGGTACTAAAATGTTTCACTTTTAAGCACATGTAAACAGAAAATCTAGTCTTCAGAGAAATGATATTAAAGGGGCTAAATATGGTAGGTTCTTACTCTTAAGTCTGAACAAAGTATCTTTCAAAGTTTTAGCTTTAAAATCACTTCCTTATTAATTAATTTTAGTAATTACCGGTCTCTTCTTGTATAAAAGATATGACAGATGCAAAATGTTGACACCCAAGAACACAGAGTTCCAGATCATTATATCCAAGGCACATCGGTAGAGAATGGCCCAGACGATATAAAGCGTACATCCTGTTGAAGAGCACGGTTAACATGTTAGATGTCCAGAAGAGCTTAAGCAGGGAGCTTAATAAATTTGATATCCTCTCTCTATATAGTAGTCATCCCTTTTTTGAAGGTGAGACTTTACAAGACCCCCAGTGGAAGCCTGAAACCATGGATAGTACACAACTCTATAAACACTGTTTCATTGATCTGATACCCAAGACAGCTACTCAGCGATTACTGGGTAGGTAACACAGATAGTGGGGGTAAGTTGGACAAAGGGATGATTCACATTCCAGTCAGGATACACCAGGACAGTACAAGATTTAATCGCACTATTCAGAATGTCTTGCAATTTAAAACTTATAAATTGTTTATTCTTGGTATTTTCCATTTAATATTATTAGACTATAGTTGACCACAGAAAATGAATCCATGGATGTGGGGATTACTGAAAATCAAAGACATTTTAGAACTACCTAAGCCAATTATCACTTTGTTTCATTTTGGTTTTTGTCCAGTAACAAAAAAATCCAAATATATGCTTTGTTGCATAAAATCTATATAAAAAATATACTAGAAATACAAAGTACAAAAAATATTTTTAAAGGGGAAAAATCCATAATTCTACTACTTAAAGAAAGCCATTAAATATCAAATAATTTAATTCTGCCTTATAGTTTTCACGCAGTTTTACCTGATGGCAAACCTGGCACATATAATATTTTAAAATCTCCTTTTTAACTAATTGCAGTGATTTTCCCATTTCATTGAACTCTTTGAAAGCACAATTTTAAATGACTGCAACTAATTAAACTATAATTTATTTAACCATCCCCCAATTGCTGGAAAGACAAGATTTTGAGGGTATAATTTCTGACAAGTGGAAAATTTTATACATACAAATTTTTCTGTATTTATGATTGTTTACTTAGTCTGGATTACCTGAAGGTGAATCTAGAGAATGAACTTTATAATAATTTTACAATATTGAAGAATTGTTTCCCAAAAGCTTTGTATAAATTTTCAATCCTACTAGTTAGAAATGCAGTATCAAATTGTCAGCATAGTCACATGTTGCTTAATGACAGGGATATGTTCTGAGAAATGTTTTGTTAGACAATTTTGTTGCTAGACGAACATCATATCGAGTATACTTACATAAACTCAGATGGCACAGTCTACTACGCTATAGGGTATAAACCAATGCAGTACAGTTTGTTACTGTATTGAATATTGAATACTGCAGGCAACTATAACACAATAGTAAGTATTTGTATATCTAAATATGGAAAAGGTAAACATGGTACTATAATCTTATGGGAATGCTTTCACTATATAACGCATGGCTGTATTATAAGATGTGTAAACTCCTAATTTGATAGTGAGGAATTATGTATTATATTTTATTTTGCATTTCCATGATTACTGGTGAGCCTGCATATTTTATTTTATTTATTTTTTTAACTAATACAGTTAAGTCACTACCAGCAGAGGCTGCATATTTTACCAAAATGTTTTAGCCATTTGAATTTTCCCTTGGTGATTATCCAATCATCTCTGAGAATCTTCCTGTGTTTTCTTATCAATTCTCTTACCTTATATAAAATATCCCCAGTTTTGTTTGATCAATTTCATGGTAGGAGAGTTAATACAGTGTATATATTTAATTTAAAACAAAACATCATTAAGATATAGATCACTGACGCATGCACACAAAAGTTAACCTCCCACTTTAAAACTTACTCACTTGCAATTTTTTATTTCATAAGAATGATTTGCAGTACCTCAATAAAGCCCAAAATGTAAAAATTTAAAGATTCTTTAAGTAATATTTCATAGCAAATAGTGAAGCAATTTAAAATATTTTAATTTAAAGGAGACAGGGTACATAACGGGAGGATGGAGAAAAACTGCAGGACCTGAATTACAGTCCTGGTTTGGCCATTTTTTCTCCATCTTAATTTTAGATGGGTCATTTTACTTGTCTAGGTTTCACTTTTTTGAGACAGGGTCTTGCTCTATCACACAGGCTGGAGTGCAGTAGTAGAATCATGATGTAGTGCAGCCTCACATGCCAGGCTCAAGCTGTCCTCCCACCTTAGCCTCCCGAATAGTTGGGACCACAGGTACATGCCACCGTGCCCAGCTAATCTATAAAATTTTTGTAGACATAGGGTCTCACATGCCCAGGCTGGTTTTGAACTATTGGCTTCAAGAGATCCTCCAACTTCAGCCTCCCAAAGCGCTGGGACTATAGTTGTTAGCCTCCACGCCTGGCCTAGATTTCTCTTTCTACACTTACAGAATAAAGTGTTAGATTTGATAAAAACTTTGGTTCACTCTACCTCCACAACTCTGTCTTAAAATTCATAATTGATTTTTGGTTTTTTACAGGATACAGTGTTTTGTTTTGTTTTTTTCCATTCAACTCCCTGCTCCTCCTATTGCAATCCTCACCTGACCCATAGGTCACACACCACAGAGGTCCCAAGCTTCTCCTAACCTTCCAGACTCTTCTTCCTTGTCATTTATCACTTTTTTTTTTGAGGCGGAGTCTCACTGTGTTGCCAGGCTGGAGTGCAGTGGCATGATCTCGGCTCACTGCAACCTCTGCCTCCTGGGTTCAAGCGAGCTCAGCCTCCTGAGTAGCTGGGATTACAGAGGCCTGCCACCACGCCTGGCTAATTTCTGTATTTTTAGTAGAGACAGGGTTTCACCATGTTGGCCAGACTGGTCTCGAACTCCTGACCTAAGATGATCTGCCTGCCTCAACCTCCCACAGTCCTGGGATTACAGGCATAAGCCACTGTGCCCAGACCATTTATCATATATTTTTAGGCACAATGCGATATTCTACGTTCACCCCAATAAGCTCAATTTCCTCCTCTTCTGTACTCTTTGCTTGGATATTGCACATGTTCAGAGAAATCTTGCTCACCTTCCAAAGTGCAGGTCCCATGTCACCTCCTCAGGGGGACCTTGCTCTGCCTTCCTACTGAGCCTATCACCTTTTCCATGTCCCCCAGGATAATGGGTGCACAACTGCATCCCAGCATCCAATACGCCATACTGGGATTGCCCATCTGTTTCTCTGCCAGCCCTCACTAGAGTGTCTTTCTCAAGGATGAAGTCAGCCTTCCTCAGTCTTTGTCTGACATGGAGGTGGTATTATTTTTACCCTTATCTGATAAATAAGGAAACTGAGGTAGTAGAAAGATTGATACCACAGGTACTCAAAAATGATCTGAACAAATGAGTCATCAAGGAAATAATCACACAGAGCGTAATGTGTCAAGAATCACTGGCTAAAGTAACAGATTCAATTGTTTTAATATTCTGATGTGAATCAATTTAACTTGCTTCATCAGGGTTACAGGGACCAAAAAAAAAAAAAGTTTTGTTTGAACTACTGTATCTAGGTAATTGATTTTGTTCCCAATGTTTCTTTACTGCCCATATCAAATATCTTTTCAAGTAATAACAGTTAAAATTACACAGTACTTACTATGGGCAGGCAACATTCCAAGTTAAAAATATATATGACAGACATTTAACTCACAACAACTTTGGGAGGTGGTATTATTTTTACCCTTATCTGATAAATAAGGAAACTGAGGTAGCAGAAAGATTAAATCACTTGCCCAAGTTACATAGTTAGCAAGTAGTAGAACCAGTTTTCGAATCACATAATTTAGCTCTAAAGTTCATACGCTTACACATGAATGAATTTTCTGATATCTGGAAAACCTAAACAGCATGTGAAAGCACACATAAACGAAGTAAGTAAGGGAGAGATATGGCATATGAAGATCTATGCTCTAAGCTAACTGATACACTGCTAATTCAGTAACAAAGACTTAGGTTTTTTGGCTTGCTATGGACCTGACAAAGAATACCCTGAAGCCCTCAGTGCAAAGCCCATCTGATGTCAGTTACAGAAAAGTTACATAAAATATCAGTTAGGTATCTTACCTAGAGTTAACATTCCCCTCAGAAATATCATATGAAGATGAAGAGTAGTTGGAATAACCAACCCAACTGCAAAACAAATATTTGCTACATGAAAAACCAGATGATGTATCTCTCTCCAGTTTTCACAAGTGGTCTCATTGGAAGGCACGGGTATGATACTTTCTAACTCAGGTGTAAAACCTATGGCAGTTGATTCCGTCAATGAACTGGACTCTGTATAATTCATTTTGAAAATTCCTGTAAAAACAAGTAAACAAAAGTAAAATCATAAAAATGGCAACTGTATCTTATTATCCCCATAGGTATTATACCAAAATTATTTCTGTGAATTAAATAGATTTCTCTAGTACTTATTAATTAGACAGATCCAGATTCAAATCCCAACTCTGTCACATATTAAATGTATTCAGTTCCTTATCTGTTAAAGGATAATAATATCTAATTTGCCTTATGATTAAATGAAATAAAATATTAAAATACTTAGCACAGTGTACAACTATTCCCTCATAGGCACAAATATTCACATACAGATTTGTAGGGAAGGGAGGAGTGAGGGAATTAATTAGTCTTTAAGACAATCACCAATATTCATAAACCAGAGTAATTACAAAGTTATTTAGTCTAGTCTTCCATCATATTCCCACTGGTGACTGAATCCAAATACAGAAAAAATAACTAGAAAACTAATTATTTGAATACTTAAAAAATATTAATACTCTCACATCTATTTGAAAGCTTAGGATATTTAGAAGTCTCTATTTTTATTAAATCACTGTATCATACATACATAATACATTATCATATATGCAAATAATATATAGCCATATATATTAAACATTTATATATACACAAGAGATACAACATAAAATTTTTATTGTCTAATTTAAATCTCTACTTTATTTCCCATAATAATTCTAGATGGTAGGATATCACAAATTAACTTCTAGTTTACTTATACATATTAAAATCCATAGCAAGTACATTTATTTAAAGAATACCCATTTTACACATGCTTATATAAAACCATTTCCCATGTTACCTGTCTTCAGTCTCTGGACCTTACAAAGAACTCTATTATTATTTACACAAATTTGGTCCTTGCAAACACTGTGAAGGTTTGCCAGATATATGAATTATTCTGTTTTAGGAAAATTCCAAATGGGAACCCTAAATACATTTAAATTTAGAAATATGTATTTCTTTCAAAATAAGGTCATGCAATTAATCTTACTTTTCTACTGCTTATTCTCAATTACTAAAGTAAAGGTTTTAGGTAGTAGAATAATTAATTGGTACAAAATGGGTACTTTGAAAGGACGTTAACAGACAAATCTGAAAGAATTCCATACCTTAAAGATGATTTAAAAAAAAAAAAAAACCAAACACACCAATTTACAAATTCTGAATGAAATGATCAACTCAACTGAAGATCTTTTTACGCAGTTCTGAAATAGCTCATAAATATAAAAGTAATAGTTGACTTAGATGTCGATTTGCTACAAAAATGAAAGAAACAAAAATTCACCTGTTTTCCAAATGTCTGAAATCATTAAATATATAAGCCTGTCAGGACGGAGAGAAGATTATTATTTTAATAACTCCATTTACACAAAATTTGCTTTTCAGGACCAAATGAGAATGAATCTCATAACTTCTGCAGCAGAACGATATGAAGCGTCCTCTATCACTCATAACCTAACATCATCTACCCTAGCATTGCATAGGTTAATAATAACTACCATTTTGACAGCACTGTAGAATGTACCTACACTCCCATTGTCCTGTTTGTCCTAACTACCCTTTGTCCTCTATGAGGCACGAACAGTGTTTATTCATGTACTTCCAAGGCTTAGCCTCTGTAGAGAAGGGCACTGAAGCAGACAGGAAAGCCACTCTGAAGGAATCTCAACATGACAAACACTTTTAGACTGTGCAGTCCCCCTAGATCTCAGTAATAAAGATAGGAGAGTGCCTAGCCTTCCTGAGGTTGAGTCAGGTTCTATATCACAAGCCACCAGGGAGTCACATCAGCCAGGGAAAGTCGCTTCTGCTCCTCGGGTCTGTTTCTTCCTTGGAATGGGGCAGCTGGATTAGACCATCTAATACATATTTACATGATCAATCAATCCATATTCCCCCTCGAATCCACCCAATTTCACCTGTATTGCCTACTAATCCACTATAATTCAATATCAGGTTTTCAGAAGTTCTTAAAATGACATGAACACTACCAATTTCTGGTGCAAGAAAAATGACAGGAAAACTACAATTACTGATCCAAGAACCAGAAATATTATTAGCAATTTTTAGAAGGTAGGATCATCCTAAGCATGTTTTGAAGCACACCACACCTTATTAGAGATATATATCTGTATAGATATACGTAAAGGCATACAGATGTATCTATATATCTATACAATCGTCTATTGTGAAATGCCAGTTACCTATTGTCGAAAATATTGATCAGATCAGTTTATTTTGATTTCCACTTAATCGTTTAGCAGCTTACAGAGAATAGGTGGAAAGAGAAAGGTTAGACTGGTAAATTGGTCAACTTTCAGATTAATTTTGACTAAATCAAGAGAAATTATGTATCCCTCATCAGTTCATCAAAGCTGAAGTCCTTAAATTACCTATACTAAAAAGTTCTGTTTATTGGTTTTCAAAAAGGTGATTGCAGGGCTAAACAGCTAAACGTTGAAACTTATATTAAACCTTTACCAAACTAAAAAAAGGAAAAAGGTAACTGCAACGAGCAAAAGTCTTGCTAATCGGCTTAATTCATTCTCTAATTCTAACTGAATTTTCGCACATCTTCCGAATGGCAAATGGCATTACATTGCTTAGAGTCTCTTCGCACTTATTCACGCTTCAAAGCAGGCAGTTTCTGGGACTTACCTGGCCAACAACCGTTCCCAAAGGCTCGGGGAAGGAGGCTGCGAGTGGGCGGCGCGCACCTCGGGTCCCCAGCCATCTGCGCTCTCCGGAGGCCCTCTGACCTCGCTCCTTAGGAGGAGGGTCCGCGGCAACAGTCCTCCTACGCCAGGAGCTCTCGGGCCGCGGAGGTGAGGAGTGAGCCCCGTGACCCACCCCACAGTCGGACAGGGGACGGGGTGGGCGACACTGTGCTCCCGGCTGCACGCAGCCTCCGCGCGGGACGCAGCGGCCCTACAGGGGGCGAGGAGGAACCCCGGGGCCGGGCGGAGGGAGCAGAGGCCGAGCTCACCAAGGGGCTTGCCCGCCGCAGAGCGCGGGAGCCGGCACTCGGTGGGGCCGAGGGCCCGGGGACGCTGGGGCTGCCTGACCTAGCGGCAGCCGCCGATCCTTGAGGGTCTCGATGGCCGCGGCGCCCAGACCCGCGGAGAAGGGCGGCCTCCAAAGGTCGAGAGTCCCGCGAGGGCGCGGCCAGCGAGGAGGGGCAGAGGGCGGCGGCCCCGGGCGCGGAGAACAGGCAGTCGCCGCCGGGGCCGGCAAAGTTGCTCCCCGAGGGGCCGAGATCCAACTTTCGCTTCCCGATTTAGCCACGGGAGCGCGAGGCCGCACACGGCCCGGCGCGGGGGGACAGCAGGCGGCAGCGGCGCGTCCCCTCCTTACCTGGCTGGTCCTCGGCGAGGAACCTGGGCTGCACCGACCAAAGTTCGGAGCGGCAGCTTCGGGGCGCGGGACGCGGGGGACACGGGCTCAGCGGCTCGACGGGCGTCGGACGCGCGCTCCTCGGCGGGTCCGCGGGTCTGGAAGCTCCGCAGCCCCGGCCGGGTCCCCACGCCCGCAGCCGCTTTGACTAAAATAGGCATCGCGACGACGGCGGCGGCGGCGGGCGGCGGCGGCCCGGGCTGGGGCGGCACCGCGCACGCGCACGCGCCCGCCGCCCCGCGCCCCCCGGCGGGCGGAGCCCCGCGCTGCTCCCGGACTGCCCGCCCCGCTCCCGCGGCTCCACGGCCGGTCTGCACGCCCGAGGACTCGGTTTGAAACGCCCGCTCATTTATTTTCTTGTTTCTTCTCTACAAGAGTCTCCTTGTTTGGGCATGAGTGGGAAGCGGGCGGCTTCGTGGGACCGGCGGCATTCGTCGTTCCTCCCCACGGGGAGTATTCGAGAAGTGGGGTCCCGGGAGGGAGAGGAATCAGAGGAAATGAGAACGGGAATCCTCGTTTCTCCTCAGAGTTGGACGACCCACTCGCCTATCTCCTTTTTGGGAGGTTCGCCCAGAACTCGGCGCAGGCGGGGAATGGTCCGGAGAGCGCGCGAGTTCACGTCCGAGTCTGGCTGGCGAGGTGGAACGTTGGGTCCGCCCGGGCGCGGGACGCCTGGGGCCAGGCCTCCTGCTGCTGCGGAGGAGGAGAGAGGAGAGGCCGCGGGGGAGGGACTTCTGACACGTGTCACTGTTTTCGTTTCCAGAGAAGGGTACTTAAACCCGAAACTAGCAATCCCAGGCGGTGCAGGGCCCTCCACTGTGGGCAAAGCATCACCTGAATGTAGATGTGGGAACCATACGTTTGAATATAAGATTTGAGAGTATGTTCCAATCAACCTTTACTGATTACTGGACAACTATTTTGAGTAAGAAAACAGGGAAAGTTAATGAAGAATTGGCGTTGGTTGCGGGGGGGGGGGGTGTCTTGTAGGACAAAACAGAAAGATTAGATGGGTATCCAGTTTCCAACAAAAAATGTCTCATTATGGGATAAAATTGGACCAATTATTAGAGTATGAGGTCATTCATGGATGCGAAATGTGATCTCAGTATGAAAAAGACCACCAACAATTGTGTGAAGGTACGTTATAAAGAGTACCTGGAGGTGCACACTGGGCAAGTCTCTGGTGAAGGAGGGGTGCCGCCTGCTGTGAAAGATGTCTTGATGTCACACAAGCTGGGTTTGAATCCTCCCTCTCCTACCAGTTTACTGTGCGACCTTGGAGAAGTTACTTAGGCTTTCTGTGCCTCAGTTTCCTCTTTGGAACATGGGGATGATGATGATGGTGGTACCTGCACCTCATAGTATTGTTTTGAGGACTAAATGGTGTTAATTATATATAAAGGTATTAAAATGGTGTTTGGGACTAAGTTTTATATTTGTGTGTATGTGTGCCCCCCCCTCTCTCTCTCTCTTTCTCGCTCTCTCTCTCTCTCTCTCTCTCTCTATATATATATATATACACGTATAGTATTTATAAAGCTCCTTCTCTAATATCTCCGAACTTTCCTGTAACCATAAATGATTACTTTTCAGGGTTACTTCTTTAGAGTCTGTTTCTTTCTAGATGCTCTGTCAGCCTTTTTTGTTGTTGTTTTGTTTTGTTTTTTTGACAGGGAGTTTCGCTGTTGTTGCACAGGCTGGAGTGCAATGGCGCGATCTCAGCTCACTGCAACCTCCTCCTCCTGTGTTCAAGCAATTCTCCTGCCTCAGCCTCCTGAGTAGCTCAGATTACAGGCACGCGCCACCACGCCCCTGCCAGCCGTTTTGATAGCTACCGCTAAATGCATTTTAAGGTGTGACTGTAATACTAAGTGCACATAAAGACTTAAGTACACGGATGTTCACTGGAGGGTGACTCATAATATTGAATATGGAGAATAGCCTAAATTCTAACCATGGGGGACAAAGTAAATTATAGAACATCCAAACAATCTTGTTCGAAGCAGCCATTAAAAATAATTTCTAGAAAGATATTATAGACATCATAATAATATCTACTAGTTACATAAAGCAAAACTATGCCCCAAAGGCCCAGCCCACGGCCTGTTTTTGTACACCCATTTTTGCATTTTTTTATGGTTAAAAAAAAAACAAGACTTTTCATGATATGTGAACATTATATAAAATTCAGATTCAGTGTCAGTAAAATTTTATTGGAACCCAGTCACGCCCATTTTTATGACTTTTCATGCTGCCAAGGCAGCTTTGATTAGTTACAATAGAAACCTTATGGTCCACAAAGCCTAAGATGTTGTTTACTCTCTGGCTCTACAGATGTTTACTGACCCCTCACTTAGAGTACTGTTGTAAGTGATTTGGATATATTGTCACCCATAACAGGACACACCCACTCCTTACCTTCAGGATAGGATACCTGTAAGGCATTTAGATCATATAAAGATTGCACGTTTTTATGAAAAGAACACTGAATTAGATATCATAAAACTTAAGTTCTAGCCTTTGACAGCGTCTATGTTTTCTTTGAGTCTGTGTTCTATAGAAAGTGAAGATTGAAAAAACCTGATCCCCTCACTGTAACCTATCTAGGATTAAAACCATTATTTATAATGAGTATCTTGCTGTATTTTAATTTCTTATCACAGATGTACGAATAGTAGCTTTATAAAATTCAAAGCAAGAATTCTAGACACAGAACCTAGGATTTGGGAATTCCTTAAGCTCCCTGGTCTCCTCCTGCTGGCCTCGGAAAGGTCAGAGCAAAAGCTTCTGAGCACTATTTGAAAGTTAATATGAAGCAAGGAGCTGACCTACACAGATGTGTAGAATGAAAAGGGTAAGAAGCATAAATAGCAAAATGCAGGGCAGTCTGTCTCCTCTGTAAAAACTCTGGCTAGTGTTGGAGTGACATCATTATTTTTATGTTCATTTTTTTAATAGGTATTCTAGTCTACTTTTACCAGTTGGGTAAAATCTTAATGAGACTTAAAGTTCAGAAAGAATAAGTTTTGTGAAAATAAAACAAGATCGTTGGTTTTAAAGTATTCATATATTGGGATGCCTAAGGGGATGGATCACCTAAGGTCAGGAGTTTGAGACCAGCCTGGCCAACATGGTGAAACCCCATTTCTACTAAAAATACAAAAATTAGCCTGGTGTGGTGGCGCATGCCAGTAATCCCAGCTACTCTAGAGGCTGAGACACAGGAGTCACTTGAACCCAGGAGGCAGAGGTTGTGATGAGCTGAGATGATACCACTGCACTCCAGCCTGGGCAACAGAGTAAGACTGTCTCAAACAGACTGTCTCAAACAAAAAAACAAAAAACAAGTACTCACGTAACAGTAAGTAGCATTATCTTCCTTATCTATAAATCTGCCCACGGTATACATCAGTGTAGACTTTATTTCAACTGTTATTACTAAGTGCATGGAGACTATACTGCTTCTGATATGGTCTCATAGCAGACAGTTCTAGTTACGACGGGATTAGATTGTTTCTGAGAACCCACATTCCTCTCATTAAATGTTGCATTCACTTTTTCACTGACCAGTTTGACAGCCAACCTCACTGACTGTTTTTACATTTCTTTTGATCTTTAAAAAATTAATGGGCTTTTTAAAAGAGCAGTTTAAGTTTACAGATGACTGAGCAGATAGTTTCCCCCATTATTAACACCTTGCATTAGTGTGGTATGTGTGTCACAAATGGAGAACTCAAATTAATACATCATTATTAACAAAGGTCTATAGTTTAGGGTTCACTTCATGTTGTAGATTCTGCAGGTTTTGCCAAAGGTATAATGTCATATATCCACCATTACAGTATTATACAGAACAGTTTCAATCTCCTGTGCTTCATCCCCCTGTCTATCCTCCTCCCACACCCCTGGCAACCACTACTTTTTGCTGTCTTCATAGTTTTGCCTTTACAAAGTATCCTGTTGTTGGCATTTATGATATATCGACTTTTCAAATTGGCTTCTTTCACTAAGCAGTATGCATGCCTTTTCTTTTTCAAATGTGATATAGCTATATATTGTGGAATGATTATCACAATCAAATGAGTTGACACATCTGTCACCTCAGATATTTACCATTTTTGTGTGTAATGAGAACATGTAAGATCTACTGTCTTAGCAAATTCAGTTATAAAATACAGTATTGTTGACTAGAGTCACCACTCTGTACATTAGATCCCCAGAGCTTAGTCATCTTATAACTGAAAGTTTATACCCTTTGACCACCTTCTCCCCAATTTCCTCACCCTTCAGCCTCCGGTAACTGTATTCTCTGTTTATATGCGTTCAACTTCTTTAGATTCCATGCGTAAGTGAGATGAGACAACATTTGTCTGTCTCTTTCTAACTTATTTCACTTAGTGTAAGCCTTCCATTTTTATCCATGTTGTTACAAATGGCAGAATTTCCTTCTTTTATGGATGGATAATATTTCATTGTGTACATATGCCACGTTTTCTTTATCCTTCCTTTGTCAGTGGACACTTACATTGTTTCTATGTCTTAGCTGTTGTTAATACTGCTGCAATGAACATGGGATAGCAGACATCTCTTTGAGATTCTGATTTTATTTCCTTCAATAGATGCCTAGAAGTGGGATTGCTGGATCATATAGTAATTATATTTTTAATTTTTGGAGGAACCTCCCTACTGTTTTCCATATGGCTATACCAATTTACATTCTCACTAACGGTGCACAGGGCTTTCCTTTTCTTCATATTCTGGCCAATACTTGTTATCACTTGTCTTTTTGGTAATAGCCATTCTAACAGGTGTGAGGTGATTATCTCATTGTGGTTTTGATTTGCATTTTGCTGATAGCAGTGAACACCTTTTCATGTACCTGTTAGCCATTTGTACGTCTTCTTTGGAAGAATATCTATTGAGGTCCTTTACCTATTATTTATTTATTTATTGCTGTTATTTATTTATTTCTTTATTGAGATCCTTTACCTATTATTTATTTATTTATTGCTGTTGAGTTATATGAATTTCTTACATATTTTGGATATTAACCCCTTATCAGAGACATGGTTTGCAAATATTTTCTCCCATTCCATAAATTGCCTTTTCATTTTGTTGATTGTTTCCTTTGCTTTGCAGAAGCTTTTACGTTTGATGGAATCCCACTTGTTTGTTTTTGCTTTTGATGC